CACAGATCCGCCGGACCAGCCAGTCGACGTCAAGGAAGACCAGGTGTCATCAAACACTGTCCGACTACAGGTGACGCGTCCACTCAACGACGGTGGCATCGCGCTCACAGGTAAACATACCTACCTCCATGTTAATTACTGCTAACATCACAGGTAACCATACCTGCCTCCATGTTAATTACTGCTAACATCACAGGTAAACATACCTACCTCCATGTTAATTACTGCTAACATCACAGGTAACCATACCTGCCTCCATGTTAATTACTGCTAACATCACAGGTAAACATACCTACCTCCATGTTAATTACTGCTAACATCACAGGTAAACATACCTGCCTCTATGTTAATTACTGCTAACATCACAGGTAAACATACCTACCTCCATGTTAATTACTGCTAACATCACAGGTAATTCCATGTTAATTACTGCTAACATCACAGGTAACCATACCTGCCTCCATGTTAATTACTGCTAACCAGGGGCGTGTACAGGGGGAGGGGGTCCAGGTGGTCCGGACCCCCCCCCCTCCTGCTTGCGCAGAAAACGCATCTGAGGGGGTCTAATTTCAAAATTTTCTGACCCCCCTTCGCGTGCTCGCAAGTATGGGTTACGGTTAGACCCCCCCTGGTCCAAATCCTGTACACGCCCCTGCCAACATCACAGGTAACCATACCTGCCTCCATGTTAATTACTGCTAACATCACAGGTAACCATAACTGCCTCCATACTGGCATTATTCCATACTATACTGGCCGGTATAGTGATCTCACACGCGTCGTTGACAACACTGACGGCACTCGTTCTTCCCGTGTCACAGGTTACAAGGTCAAGTATAGGGAGCGCTCCGAGCAGCAGGAGGGAATGTGGAGCGCCGCCAAAGCATATCCCGTCGGTAAGCGACCGGTTACCCGGTACACGAAGCGTGAGTGCAGCACACCCACCTTCTCACGTCTCACCTCTAACCCCACAGTCGTATGACGTCAGAGCGTCTGCTGACCTCACATCACGCGGGCACGGTCATGGCCCCGGGGGAGGAGAGCGGGTGCTTAACTCTGTTCCTATTATCCATTATGATCCTAGTAAATGTAATTACCTAAGTACCTAAACAAAATTGAATAAATACTATGCCAAAATTATTCCTCCAGGCGTTATTGCTATCCCTACAAGTGCTCAATTGATATTTGTGGTGGGGTAAGAAAGGATGTGGGAGGGGAGGGTGGGGATGAGAGAAGAGAGTTGGGAATGTGCAGGCTAGGAAGGAGGACGTAAGAGGAGGAGGCGGAGGGGTGGGAAAGTCGAGAAGGGGGCGTGTCATCGCCTGAGTAATAAATAACCCACACTTCTGCTTTCTTTCCGATCCGCGCACGTTGTTAGTGTATGATGAGGACAATGATGGCGGTGGTCGCAGAAACGCCTCGTGGGCGTGATGCGAGATATGTCGCAAACTGTTCGCCCGCTGCTAACCTGTAGGTGGGTTGACGGTGTTACAACCTCACCCCCGTGAACTCACACAACCGTCACAACCCCCACTACATGTTAACACATCCCCACACACCCCGCCCTCTGCCACGATGCATATGTGGTTCTTGCTTTTGTTATATTGCTTTATTTTGGCTTTGTTTGCATCGCGACCTTACAACACGACCATTATATGTGACCTCTAGCTGTTGTAACCTCTCCTTCTGCGACCTCTAAATTAACACGACATGGGTTATAACCTCCAAACCCATTTGCAGCAAGAGAAATCACTTCTTCTGACTTTCTTCTGCAAAGCGTGGGGGATTTCCCCACAATGTTGAGAACATGTGCCTTTAGGCACCTTATTGATTGTGACCTCAGCTTGTATTCGTACTATGTGTCGTGGATTACTAATTTAGCCTCGGCAGCACGCGGGGCGGTGACGTATGTAACACGTGTCTGCTTCCTCCCCCAGCAGGTGACACGGTGAAGATCGAGCATCTCAACCCGAGCACGCAGTATGAGTTTGAGGTGTCGGCGGAGAATGCTGCGGGCATCAGCGGTGCACTCAGCGTGATCGTGAGGACGACAGCCGGGCCGGGCGGCTCCACGCAGGCTGCGGGCTCCCTCGCCGCATCCGCCCTACTACTAGCCGCCTTCACACTCACCGCCTGCTGGTAATCACTGCTGCTGCTGTGCCGCCATCTGCTGGCCGATCCTTGAACATTTCCAGCGTTTCGGGTGCAGCACACTGGACAACTGGTCGCCATCTATCGGCGGCATATTTTATTTTTTCCACTTAGTTTGCTACTGGTGTGCTAGGCAGCGTTGGCGACTATGATGCCATTAACGCTTTCTCCGAAATATGATAAAAGGTATGATAACAAATTGAGGTTAGAATTTCTAAACGACAGCAGTGAAAGGTGGCAGTATTCCAGGCCTGCATATACGTGCATACTGGTACTGCTTATGTAGTGCGGGCTATGCTTGGTTGTGTATTTGGCTTAGATTGAGGAATGCCAGCCTTTATCCACTACGCCTGCGTTGGTTTGGTTCAGCATCGTTACTGCGTGGCATGCCCCAAATCTGCTCAAATAAGTATATTATTTACTTGCATGATATGAATATGAGAGGAAGAAGAAGATAGCAATGTCTTGCAGTTTCTAGATCCGCAATTTCCAGTTCTCACTGTGATGCTATGTCCTATGCTCCTTCCATCCTCCTCATCCCTCTCGTCATTATCCTTGCCACTTTATTCTATCTCTGCTACTCCTTCTTCTTCCTCCTCCTCCTCTTCTTCATACTTCTTTGCCTTTCCCTTGCCTTGTGTTTCTTTAGTTATCACCAATCACAACCAGTATCATCACCTGCTATGTGTCTCAATCCTGACACAGTCTCATGTATCTTCTAAACTGATATATTAGCCAGTAAAATTCCAATGCATGCACAAACGCCGCCGCTGCCTCGATTGTTCGGCCCTAGGTGGCGCCATCGGTGACTATCAGTAATTTAGCTACTCTGTCGACTCTTTGAATTGTTTATCTGGTTTACTTGTTATTCCAGCGCGTCGTTTTGCGAACGTATTTAGTATTTATGTAAACTATAGATGTAGTCTACCGTGTTAGAGGTTTCCTCACTCTTTACTGTCTTCTCTTAATCTCCCACTGGTGCAGCCCGTGACTACACGGACCAGATGACTAGCCAAGCAGTATGTCTCAGAATGTGTCGGAATATGTCAGAATGTCTCAGAATGTGTCAGTATGTCTCAGGTTGTCTTCAGTGGAAGCTGAGACACAGGGCTAGTGGGAACTAAGGCATATGGCTTCACGGAAGCTAAATCTTAGTAGTTAGATGTGGTAGGGTATGGATAAATTGATCTCTATACCTAGGCCTGTTGTGGTGGGACAGCACTAGCTAAATCTCTCTCTCTGGGTCTGCTTTGGTGGGACATCTCTTGCTCAGTCTCTAGGTCTGGTGTAGTGGGGCCGTGTTAGTGGATGCTCCGTGTACACATCATAGACCGGAATTTACATCCATTCAGGATCGTTGACGATGTACCCTTTATCTTTTGATATGTTGTGAAGTAAGTAATGCGCCAAGTATTTATTTAGAAACGTATTTTTAAGGGAGTGTAAATTTTTTTTATTGCTCGTGCGCGTTGTACTTGGTTAGGATCTCTTGAAGATCAAGAGAGAGCGAGAAATAACGGACAGATAATGGAGATTGCTTCCAGATTGTAGGAAATAGAATCGTAAGTTGTATCTGTAGTCGCTACCGTATCCGATGCACAGCAACGCCCTCTCGTGACTGTTGCTATGATGTGATGAAATCCCGTAGCAACCGTGGCCATGCCGCGAAGAGCAGACGCTCATCGCCATGACAACTGTCGCCATGACAACCGTCGCCATGGCAAGTGCATTACTATCTCAAACACATGTCTCCCTTCTCTCTAGCTGTGTAATCTCTATATAGCATGTAATACACCCTGATGTACAATTCACACTTCGATATAATGCAGCTAGCCTATATTTATGCCTGTCCTTGCGTGAAGGCAGCCCAGCCCCACACGCGGGTTCTCTACACGTATTTATTAGTGTGTGTAAGAGTCGCGTGAACCGTGTGTGCGCATGCGCGCATCTATTGTTACTACTAACCGGCGAACAGTGGAAGAGCACGCATGCCGGAGCTACAACTCCTCATATCACCGCTAGAGGGCGCTGCTGGCTCCTCTAGCGTGAAGCAGCTGTGACCTTGTCTAGGTCATCTCCGCTCTGTGGGATTCCCACTCACATCCCGTGCCTCCCCTGCATGCACTGTTAGAGAGCAGGAGATCGCTGGTGGAGTGACGTCACCTTTGCAATCGTCATCTCTGACCTTACATTACTGTTGTTGCTGCAACTCCTCACACAGAGTGCATGTTTTATGCATGTAATATACCTAACATATATTTAAACATATTTTATGTATACATGTACTGTGAGTAAGCGAGGAGGTTACGTTACGTGTGTAGCCCCCACCAGTTCTGTTTTATTCTTTATTATTAGTCTATCATAATTCATATATATATAGATATGTACACGTAGTGTTATACGATATTTTCATTTTATTTTGACTCTATACAGTTCGACAATTTTCCGATGTTGTGTAATTCTTCGCGATAGTTGTGTTGTTAGTGCTGTGTGTATTAATATGCATAACTCTTCTCTTTCCACTCGCAGTTTGACCCGCGTGGTGTTTATCGTGTCTAGATGGACACCACATGCCGTTTTTAATGTATGATTATACCACGTTTACAACCCGTTGGTGTCCCTCTAAGAGTTTGCTTTGTGTAGAGGGCGCCTAAGTCTCTCTCCTTGTAGTCTGCAATACGATTTGTTGCGTTTTTACTGGTCGGTAGACGTCACGTGACATGTAGCGTCATCGTAGATTCGCTACGTTCTTAAAGCTGTTTGCTTTTCTTTAGCTGCTAACGCTTTAGAAAAGTTTTCCGCTTGTGCCGCTGCGTGGCGTTGTGATCGCATGAAGTCGTCGTAAATGCAGACTTACATTTCATACTCGTGGTTAGGCGTCCGTCTTAGGTCTTATTAATGGCGGCCCTCTGCCTCTCTGCGCATGCGTGTGAGTCTCTGGAATTTCGTCACGTTCTGTTCACACGCGCTACTGTCATAGAGATGAACCTGATAGTTCTTTGCCTCACAGCTAGAAGGCAGAACGATAGTTTCGTAGTAGATTTATTATGTAGAATTTGCACGTGATGTACATTTTGATCGAATCACTTAGGATTTCTATCAGTATATTATAGATCATGTTTTAATTTGCGACACAAATCTTCTATGAAGATTCAGTTTTTCGTTTGTCTCGCAAATCATTTATTTTTGTTTCTCCGTCACGAGTTTCTGCAGCCTCCCGTCAGAGGGTGCCGTAACTTCGCGGGGTGCTGGCAGTTCACGAGCAGTGATGCACGATGTCCGTAAGGGATGTGGGAGCTGTCTACGATGTCCGTAAGGGATGTGGCAGCTGTCTATGATGTCCGTAAGGGATGTGGCAGCTGTCTACGATGTCCGTAAGGGATGTGGCAGCAGTGTACGATGTCCGTAAGGGATGTGGCAGCTGTCTACGATGTCCGTAAGGGATGTGGCAGCTGCCTACAATGTTCGTAAGGGATGTGGCAGCTGTCTACGATGTTATGTGGCAGCAGTGTACGATGTCCATAAGGGATGTGGCAGCTGCCTACGATGTCCGTAAGGGATGTGGCAGCTGTGAAGGCTGAATTTGTTTCCCCGATTATTAATTCGACTTTGATGAACGAAATCTACAATTGCCTGTGTTGCTTCCCATCCCTCCTGCGACGTCGTCGGCAGTCTACATCTGTACGTGACGAGCAATGCACGCCTTCGTCTTGTAAGTGTGTCACGACTCACGCCACGTTATGTGGTTATTGGTTTTTCTGCCGCATGGTGTCACTGTTGTCGTTTCCTGCCAGGCGGTATGCGTGTAAACTATGAGTACCTGCAGTTTCATACTGTCCTCCGCTATTATTACTCTTCCTGTGGCTATTAGGGGGCAGGCTATCCCAAACCACGCTTTATATACCCTCCACACACCAACCGCCCACTAACCGCCCACCCATGCATACACACACGTACACACACGCACGGACAAGCACACGCATACACACGCACGCACGCACGCACGCACGCACGCACGCACACACACACACGCACACACGATCGAGCATCCCACAATACCGGATGGAGTGTAGCGTACTGGAAGTAAGACTACTGTTTGGTTCACAGAGCGTGGGGCCATGCGTGTACATATTAGACTACGTACTAAGTATAGCGTTAGTAGCATTAGTGGTAGTGATGGTAGTAATGGTAGTTGCTTGCATGCTGTGGTGTTATAGGGGACGTGGCTTGTACGTGGTAGCCAGTGATGTATTCATTCTACTCGTTCAAACGTTGTTTTCTGGTTCGCTGTTTTAATGAAAGGGCGTTAACTTTCGGGCGAGTGAGAGAGAGAGAAAGAGAGAGAGAGAGAGAGCAACCCTGCGCATGCGTGTGTGCGTGCGTGCGTGTTGTTGTAGCAATAGTAACGTGTAAGATGTACGTGGGCAGGCGCGCATGACTACCCCTGAATATGCTACCACTGTATACATAGGTCGTTGTAGTACCCGTTTCTCCCGCCAGGATAGCTGTAGTAGGCACTAGTAGGCACTGGCCAGCGCGCGTGATTTTTTTTCCTAGGTCAATCAAGAACATTGGGCTGTAATAAGCGCTGCTATTGGTTGAGCTTGTTTTCTCGCGATATACATAGCACATCCAAAACTATGATTCTCGATATGACTCGATAGCCTAGCGCGTTCAGCGCGGGCGTCTAGTATGAAAGATCGAAGGATCGAATCCCGTCATTCGCTTTCTAAATATTTTTCTGTTTTCTGTATTTTTCTATCTTTATCTGTTTAACTTCTTTTTCCAATTTTCGCAAATATTTACATGATTTATTTACAACAGCAAACATGATTTATTTACAACAGCAATTAATTTTTACAATTAAAAATTAAATTTTTTATATATTTGTTTAAATAGGGTTAGGATTAGGGTTAGGGTTAGGGTTAGGGTTAGGGTTAGGGTTAGGGTTAGGGTCACAATGCAGTGAATGCACCATAAAACAGGAGTTGGAGGCACGTGATTTGTATCAACCAATGGCAGCGCTCGTTAGAGCCCTATGTTCTTGATTGACCCAAACTCCACGACAGATGGCGCTCTCGCTCTGGCTCAATTCTACCACTGCCACAAGCTGATTTCCGTAAGAATTTCTTACGCTTTTTTACTATAAGTTTTACAGCGACCCCGTTACTCCTGTCCTATGTAATAGGGTATGTACTTATAAAAGCTGCAAAGATAATAAAAGTCGGACCATTATTTCATGAGAAATTTGATAAAATAGTGATACGAAATAGTGCGCCCATTTACTACTTTCAAATCATTACGCTGTTTACTAAACTAAGTTCACGTATTTATCATGAATTTTATCATGCTTGCCAATATACCTAATTCTCGAACATTGTCTTTTATACATTTTTGCGTATTCAGCTTAAAACATCTAAATTTGTCCACCAACAAACATGCAAATCATAGAAATTTCTAATGTTTTGTTCAGCGGCGATTTCGCGGCCGTTGGCTTGCCATTTGCTGAATTTCCCGGAGCTCCGCCCACTGTAAAAATAGTGCTAGCATTGTGGCAGTGGTATATCCTGAGTGTGGGAAGGGGGCGCTGCATGCAGTTTGGTAATACACATCACACGCGCATTCAAACTGCATGCAGCGCCCCCTTCCCACACTCAGGATAGCAAACTCCACGACAGATGGCGCTCTCGCTCTGGCTCAATTCTACCACTGCCACAAGCTGATTTCCGTAAGAATTTCTTACGCTTTTTTATTATAAGTTTTACAGCGACCCCGTTACTCCTGTCCTATGTAATACGGTGTGTACTTATAAAAGCTGCAAAGATAATAAAAGTCGGACCATTATTTCATGAGAAATTTGATAAAATAGTGATACGAAATAGTGCGCCCATTTACTACTTTCAAATCATTACGCTGTTTACTAAACTAAGTTCACGTATTTATCATGAATTTTATCATGCTTGCCAATATACCTAATTCTCGAACATTGTCTTTGATACATTTTTGCGTATTCAGCTTAAAACATCTAAATTTGTCCACCAACAAACATGCAAATCATCGAAATTTCTCATGTTTTGTTCGACGGCGACTTCGCGGCCGTTGGCTTGCCATTTGCTGGATTTCCCCGGAGCTCCGCCCACTGTAAAAATAGTGCTAGCATTGTGGCAGTGGTATTATCCTGAGTGTGGGAAGGGGGCGCTGCATGCAGTTTGTGGTGGCCCATCAACGCCATAGCCCACAATGCAACTCGGGTAAACCTTATACATTAGACTAGTGCTCGCTTGCACCCATCGAGTAACTAAGTTGAGAGGTGAGAGCGAGCACCAGTCTATCTTATACATATCCCACAATCCCTTGCGAGCATGTCTTCGCTCCATCATGGCGTCTAGAATAAGAAACTCGGATTGGGAAGATGACTTAGCGTTACAAAATGATCTTAAAAAATATGTTCAAATACGCACTAGCGTGCGCACACACACGCACACGTGCACACCCGCACACACACGAATGGGCGCAAAACCTACATGCACACAAACGTATACCGAACACATACATATAATACACATCAATAGCGTATTAAGTGCATATATAGTTATATATACTATACTACTCCATATATATATATATATAACAAACAAATTCAAATATTATGATTAAGGGCGTTTAAGTTTTACTACGCGAGCTCGCGAGACGCACGCGCGCACACACACACACACGCACGCACGCATGCACGCACGCACGCACACACACACACGTACACATGCACACACACGTACACACACGTGCGCGCACACACACATACACACACATACACACACACACACACACACACACGTACACATGCACACACACACATACACACGCGCGCGCGCACACACACACACACACACACACACACACACGTACACACGCACACACACACGTACACACGCGCGCGCACACACACACACACACACACACACACACATATACACACACACATACACACA